TGCCACTGTGTTAATCTGTCTTGCTGGAAATCTTCCTCTTTTTCACTTACCCTCTGCTTTACCAAGCATGGTGTCCTTCCCCATGGACAGCTCCTACATGACAACATGTCCAAAGTACAAGAGACAAAGTCTCACCATCCTCCTCTCTAAGGAGCATTCTGGCTGCACTTCTTACAAGACATATTTGTTTGTTCTTATGGCAGTCCATGATACTTTCAATCTTCTTTGTCAACACCGTAACTCAAATGCATCAATTCTTCTATGGTCTTCCTTGTTCACTGTGCAACTTTCGCATGCATATGAGACAATTGAATATATCATGGCTTGGATGAAGTGCTCTTTTGACCTCCAGTTGACATCTTTGCTCTTGAATACTTTAAAGAGGTCTTTTGTAGCAGATTTTTCTAATGCTGTAATATCATTTGATTTCTTGACAGCTGCTTCCACGAGATTGACTTAGTTAATATGGATGGGCAATTTAGAAATTGGATAGCTAAAATTAGGGGGGATAAAGGCATGAAGTGGTTGCCTTACAAGTTTATATGGGTGTGCTTACAATTAATCTGATTTTAAGCTGGAAAGTTAATCCATTATGCATAAAAAAAGGACAATGGCTAGAAGAGCCAGAGGGGTGGCCTGTGATGTAGTGAGTAATTTAATGACTCTTCTAGCCATAGTTTGTAACACCCATCAAACAAATTTATCCTGATAGGTCTGGGTAAGAGAAGGTGGGGGAAAGATGTGCATGGATTATATGATTCTGATGTGATTGCTAACAAGGCTAATTGTGATTGGTCAATTTTGCCATTCTGCTAGTACAAAATGAGCTAGCTCAGAAGCAGAGGGGAGATCTCATTATCATCAAGAAGAAAGAGTCAGGAGTGAAGCACGCCCTGTGAACCCCAGAGAAGCAGCAGCAGCAGCAGATTCAAGAGCCAGGGCATAAGACAGAGCAGTGAACTTCCTGGCCCACAGACCAAGGAAACAGAGTGCCTTTGGGCAGGAGGCTCATTTGTAGAGCAGGGTACCTCAAAGCACACAACTGGGGAGCTAGACTTACTGGCCCATGGTGCTAGAGCTGGGTGCCTTTGGGATGAGTTTTATAGCATCCATTGGGCATTTATCAGCAGCCCTAAAATAGCTTTGTAACATTACCAAAGCAGGGCAGATGCCAGGCCAAGGCTGAGAGACAGAGACCTGCCTTTTAGGCAGCTGTGAAGAGGCTGTCCTGACCAAAGAACTGTGTTCTGAGCATTTCTGATCCTGCAGTATAACCTGCTAACTTCCCTAATAAACTCCGTAACTATGAGTATGCATCTCAGTTCCATGTGACTATTGCAATGAATTATCCAACCCACTTGAGAAGTAGAAAGTGCTGTGGGAGAAACGGAGCCTTTTTTGCAATGAGCTCTTAAAAAGCTCAAGAGCAGCCATCTAAAGTGCAACTATTGGTCTCTCCTTGTCTGGAGGAGAGAAGAGTGATAAAAATTAAAGATACATGGAAACAATTAGTTCAATGGAGACCACAACTTTGAGACGAGAAGAACTAAATGATGCCTGGCTACCACTATCAACTGCTCTGAAAGGGATCACATTAGAAGGTTCTGGATAGAGTGGAAGAAGATAATAGAGCTAAACTCACTCATTAAAAAAAAGACCAAAAATTATGGCCCTTGGTCACCCTAAAGGTCTGGAATTGAACTCACCCTCATGACTCAATTTATAGACAAACAAGTATATAGTGAGATATGTACAACACAGAATAGTCAACCAGTGGAGATGAAAAGGGCAGCATTTACCTAAAGACAAAATTCAGAAGGGTGGGGAAAGGAGGAGGAATGGAAACATGACACACAAAACGGAAGTGGAATAAGTGAGGGAATTGTGATTGAAATGAAACGAAGTGTATGGTTTGCTGGTGATGTGCTCTGCAAACCTTCACTAAATTCATAGAAAGGTTTTTGTTTTTTGTTTTTTTTTAAAGCAGTCTTCATTTAAAAGTCACTTTGCATTTTTCAAAGTGCTTCTACAAGTTCATTTGCTTGTCACACAATTCTAACTACTTTGTATGAGGTTAATATTAATATATGTAAAGGTGAGATATAAAAGCAGATTCGATACAAATATACATGAAACATTTGTCATCAACCTCACTTATAGTGCTCAATAAAAAGTTAAGTATCATTATAACTCCATGAGAGAAAGATGAGATTGTATGTTCCCAAAAGATTTACAGTCTCAGAAACCCTACATATAGGGTTGTTTTGGCACTGTAGGATCAGCACTGGTCTATAAACCAAAAGGTCGGCAGTTCAAACCCACCAGCTGCTCCTCAGAAACCCTATACAAGGTCACTATGAGTTGGAACCAACTTGATGGCACTTAACAACAACAATGAGTCAGAACCGACTAGATGGCAGAGAGTTTGGTTTGTTGGTTTGGTATCATTGTAACTATATTATTTGTATTGCTGTGAAGAAACTAAGAACTTGAAAGATTAATTCATCTGAGATTAAGTAATTTATCTCAGTTGACTTGTCCAGAATTGGTACTAAAATCTAGGTTGATTTCTAAAGCAGTTCAACTTTCTATTGCTATTTTGCATAAATAAAATTGTAGGGCCTGTCGGGGCTGAAACCCCACTGTTTCTAGTTAGTGTTCAAACCAAAAACCAAATCCATTGCCTTGGAGTTGATTCATAGCAACACTATAGGACATAGTAGAATTGCCCCATAGGGTTCCCAAGGCTGTAATCTTCGTGGATGGAGAAAACCACAGCTTCCTCCCTGCTGAGGGACAGGTGGGCTAGAATCCCATGTGTTAGATTAGAACACATGCCGCCAGGGCTCAGATCCCCTAAATTAAACCAGGACTTTTTAGGACAGTTATCCAGGAAGGTAAATCTACCTCCATTTACTAACTGAGGTCACTTGAGCAAATGATTACACAGGGCAAACGGTCCTATTTAAGAACTTTTTGGCTCCTGAAAATCGAAACAAAGTGGACTCTTGGAAAGGAAAGTTTCTTTTGAGGATCACTGTGACCCTTAATAAGGTCCTGGAGCTGTGGAGCCAAATTCATCAATTCCAAGTTAGACAGAAAAAGAGACGTTTTCTTAGAAGGTGGCACCAGCTGGGATTCCGACTATAATGCAGGCTGTCTTAATGGAGACCCACCTGTGAGCAGAAAACAGAGTCTAAATACTTTTGCTCTGGAATGTGCACTCCGGGGGATTCATGTACTTTTTCCAGATACTTTCCATTGCTCAAGTCACAAGATGTCACAAGATATAAATATCAACTATAACAATCAGATAAAAGAATAGACGTCCCATTTGTGACTGTTAGACGTTTTAACTACCCTCAAGGCAGAATATATCTGTCCTTGAGCAATACAGAAAGTTATTATAAAAATTCCAAAGAGGCTAAGTGAGGAACAGGGCAAACATGGCGTCAGTTAGGCTAACTACAAACATGGAGTAAGTTAAGTTAACACTGGGTGATAGTACTTTAGTAGGTCACAGCACCAAGAGCTTCTAAAAGTCTTACTAGACTAATACCCCCTGGACCCCATGATGAGATAGGGACCCCATGACAGCCCTGTGCTTCAGGAACCATAACAAACAGCAGGGTGGAAGGGGCGTCCTGGTCGCAGAGTCCGACCTCAATACCCCCGACACCACGCATCAGGGTCCCCGGCCCGGAGCAGCGCAGGCGGGGTCTGGGTGGAGGCCAAGTCCGGCCGCCACCGCCACAGCCGCCGCCGCTGCTGCGAGCCGGGACCTGCCTGTCCGACCCGCGGCGCAGTCTCGCGGGATCGCTCAGCTCTCGCGCCCCGTGTGGCTCCGGCGGCTGCTGGGGCCCGGACACTCCCCGGAGCCGTCTGAGGCTGCCGGGGGACTGTGGACTGGAAGGGAACGGGGAGGGGAACCGGCCTTCGACCGCCGCCTGAGGTGAGGCTGCTGCAGCCCCTATAGTGCGGGTGGCGGTAGCCTGCGGGCATGGGGGTGGGTGCGGGTGCGGACTGAGCCCGGGGCTGGGGGCCGGGCCAGGGCGGGGCGGGGGGCGCCGGGCGCCACAGGTGCCTATAGAAGGCGACTGCGGCGGCGGGACAGTCAGCACTGGCCGAAGCTTTCTCCGAAGTTGAAGCCAGCTCCTGAGAGGCGACGCTGGATCCCTGATCGCCGCCAGAACGCCGCGTTGGGCCGGGGGCAGGTGCTCAGGTGTGGGGAGCTGAAGCCTGGGTCCAGGTGCCTGTGTGGGTGGATGAGTGGATGGGTGGGGAGTAGTCACAGCCCGGGGCCCACTGCCTTCGTATCCCAGAGAACCCGGGTCAGTTTCCCCGGACAAATTTGTTCGTTTTTCCCTTTCGGCGGGATCCCTACACCGGATCCCATGGAAACGATTTCACTCTTCCGTAGAAGGAATCCTAGAAGTCTCCCTGGAAAAGCTGGAGAAGTGTATCCCCCAAGGCTGCCACCAAAGCGTAGCCTTTAAAGAGTAAGAAATCCTCGGGTTTAAAACGTTTCCCCGGGCCTCAGTTTTCCCGTGCTTAGCATGATTTCCAATAGAGGCCCTTAGAGTTCATCATTTTTCACGAATTCCTAACCCCGGGCATTCCTTTTCTCGCTCCCACTCGTCCGGTGCCCCCTTTTGCACTGTGTGCCATACAGCATAGAACAAGCCTCTCTAGAACCAGGACTTCTCAGCGAATGGTACCTTCCTTCTATGGCAAGGCAGGTGGAAGGATGGAATTTTCCATCGTTTTCCCAGTGCCCTTTACCTAGGATGAAAATTCGAACTCTGCTCTTTAATGTACATGTTTGAGTTTTTTTGACGGATGTTACTGATGCACCCTCTTGGTTTTTGCAGTAACTGACCCAGAACTCATTTGCCGTGGTAAAATACTGAAATGAGGAATCAGCGTGTTGGCAGTCTTCTGAATTAATTGATAAGCGTGATTAAGCCAAACCGTGTGGTAAAATCAGGAATTTGAAGAAAATGGAAATATTTACATTTTTGCTGACCTGTGTATTTCTACCCCTCATAAGAGGGCACAGTCTCTTCACCTGTGAACCAATTACCGTTCCCAGGTGTACGAAAATGGCCTACAATATGACATTTTTCCCTAATCTGATGGGTCATTATGACCAGGGTACTGCTGCTAAAGTAATGGAGGTGAGTCGTTCTTAAGGCCTTTATAGAAAAATAGTTTCTGCGCTGTTCTGGAATAAACTATAGATAAGGCTTTTAAAAAATATTAATAACATAGTAAAAATTCCTGTAAGTTGTATGTAAACTATATTTTGAATATGTCCTTTGGAAAATGAAATTCCTTATTAATTTACATTTTGTGTACATTTGGATCCCCACTTGTTGTGTGCCATTGAGTCATTTCCAACTCATAACAACCATGTGTAGAGTCTCCAAGGAGTGGCTGGTGAGTTTGAACCACTGACCTTGAGGTTAGCAGTCTAGTGCTTATCCTACAGTACCACAGTGGACTTAAAATAGGGCTCATTTTCTAAAGAAGAGTAGTTATGAATGATTTGGAAATACTTTGCTCCTGGCAAGTATTTTTGTTTAACTGAAATTAATTAATTTACATTCCTCTAAAATTTAAATTCCTCTAAAAATGCAAATTCAGATTTTTTTGTCTTCCCAATTTATGGAGGTTATAATGTGTGTTACCTTGATTAAAAGCAAAGATATTTACATATTTTATCATAAGTAATTGTAATGCTTAATTGTTGGCTATTCTGAAGCAAACTACTGGGCGATTTGGGGGCTGCAGACAGACTCTCTTGATAAAAAGTGAATTTGTTTTTAAATATCACCCACTCCACCTACTGCTATTGAGTCGATTCTGACTCAGTGACCCTGTATAGGATTTCCAAGGCTGTATATCTTTATGGGAGCAGAAAGCCTCATCATGCTCCCACAGATCCGCTGGTGGGTTTGAACTGCTGATCTTATGGTCAGCAGTCCAGTGCTTATCCTACGGCGCCAGAATAGGGCTCTTTTTGAAGTACATTACGTAAGTATTCTTTGTGAAATACTTGTTAAAGAAATTATATGTCAGGGGAGGAGCAAGCAATACTAAAGATTGCCTTAGGTTCCTCAGTTACCTGCGCTGGTTTAGAGATATGCAGATGCTAGGGAGGTGTGGGAAGAAAGAGCTACTTGTAGAGACAGGAACCTGCCCTCCCTACAGACAGGGAAGGCTGACTAGTGCAGTGAAGGGAAGAAGACAAATGTGGTAGGTGTTTTCGTAGTTTTCTTTTTTAAAAAAAAATAAATAAATGCTCTTTTTTTTTTTGTAGAAGTGAAAATCCTCTTTGAATTTTTTGTTGGTTAGTGAAAGCAGGTACTAAAATCTTTTTATCCTCAGGTAGTTTATATATAAGAAATGAAATGCCTAAAAATTATAATTCAGACACTGCTTTTACAAGTGGCTAGATTTAGTCATGCAGCTTTGAAAGACTTCCAGTGTTGTTCATTTGAATGTTAAAAATTATATTGTAATCTTCTGATATAAGGCGCACTTGGCTGCTAACCAGTCACTGGTTTGAACCCACTAGCCACTCCTCAGTGTATCTGTTTTCCTAAAGACTCCAAACCAAAGAACAAACAAACCCATCCCCATCAAGTCAGTTCCAACTCGTAGTGATCCTGTATAGGGTTTCTAAAACGAAATCTTTACTGGAGCAGAAAGCCTTATCTTTTACTTTGGAGCAGTTGGTGGGTTTGAATTGCTGATCTTTCAGTTATCAGGCCAGTGCTTAACCTATAGTGCCACCACAAGGGCTCCTCTCCCTAAAGATTGTTGTTCTCGTTAAGTGCTGTAGAGTTGGTTCCAACTCACAGTGACCTTGTATAGGGTTTCTGTATAGGGTTTCCAAGGAGCAGCTGGTGGGTTTGAACTGCTGACCTTGTGGTTCTCAGTCCAGTGCTGATCCTACAGCACCACACCAGGAGTCCTCCCTAAAGATTTGTTGTTGTTGTTAAGTGCCATTGAGTCAGTTCCAACCCATAGTGACCCTGTATAAGGTTTCTAAGGAGCAGCTGGTGAGCTTGAACTGCTGACCTTGCAGTTCAAATGGCCTTTGCAGTCCATCCAGAGCATTAACACAACAGCGCCACACCAGGACTTCCTAAGGATTACACCCAGGAATTCCTAGGAGGCAGTTCTATGCTGTCCTGTTGGGTCACTATGAGTTGGAGTCCACTCGACAGGAAACAACAACAAATCTTTTGGTAGTTTTTCAAACCAATGCAGATGTCATTTTGAAAAATGAACAGATGAAGCAGTAAGATTTTTATTGATTACAGCCATTTTGATGTTTGAATCTGATCAAAGTATATAGTGGGAATACCTTCAAGGAATAATTAGTCATTCACATTTTCTCTGATGATAATAATACATGTTTTATAATTTATGTCTTATAGTATTCTTTAAAATGTGTGTTGTTGTTGTTGTTGTTTTATCTGTGTTTCTTTTTATGTTGTTAAGTGTTGACTGACTCAGTTCTAACTCATAGCAACCTTGTGTCCGAGGCTGTACCTCTTTATGCTGCTGAGGAGCAACTGGTGGGAAGAAAGATGAGGCCTTCTGCTCTCATGAAGATGTAAAGCCTTAGAAACCTGTGTGGGGTTGCTATGAGTCAGAACTAACTCGAATTCCACTTAACAACAACCAACAACAATAATATATATGTATACTATGTGCATATTTATATATTGTGTGTATATTTATATGTGTGTGTGTGTGTGTATGGAGGGAGGGAGGGAGTGGCACTGCAGAATAATGAATGATGCACTGGACCACAAAGTCAGTTTGAGCCACAAGGTAATGGTTCAAACCCACCAACCGCTCCTTGGAAACCCTATACAGGGTCACTATGAGTCAGAGCCAACTGGAAGACACAACAACAACAACATATGTATGTATATATATCTGGACTGCTGACCAAAAGGTTGACAGTTTAAATCCACCAGCTGCTTCTCAGAGACCCTATGCAGGTCACTATGAGTTGGGATGGATTCTGTGGCATTTAACAACATGTATATATATGTTGCTGTTGTTGTTAAGTGCCATCGAGTCGGTTCCGACCCATAGCGACCCTGTATAGGGTTTCCGAGGGTGTAAATCTTTACGGGAGTAG